GAACCATGAGAGACTATGGACTCTGAGAAACACACTAAGGGTTCTAGAGGGGAGGGGGGTGGGGGGATGGGTTATCCTGGTGATGGGTATTAAAGAGGGCACGTATTTGAATGGAGCACTGGGTGTTATATGCCAACAATGAATCATGGAACACTACAGCAAAAAATAAATAAATAGGAAAAAAAAAAAGAAACTTGAATATTAGGTATTACTGTCCTGACATGGGGGATGTACACTAGCTACCCTTTGCTCCAGGCCTCCTGCCAGTTGCCATCTGACTCGGCCTCCCTCCCTCTGCTTAGATCTTCTCCTCAATCTTTTCACATCTCTTCCAAGTCCTGGGACTCTCACTGCTATCTCCCTTTCACTGACCCCTCCCAAATCCTTGCTTCCTTTTGTTTTATATATGAAGCAATTCAGTTTGGGGGTCACATGTGAGGCACTCCTCTGGGATCTATCAGAAGTAACAGGGAGCTCTTGAGCAGCACTAAATTTGAACAGTCAAATTACCAGGGCATAGTAATTTGCATATAGATAGGAAGGCATCAGAGTGCCCCTCATTAAGATTAATGAGATCAGATTCTCATTGGATTTATCATCTAACAAACATCTCACTTTTGGGGTCAGCGCCTTTTATACACTTATTCCCTGTATAGTTTTATGGCAGAGATAATTATTGTTCCCTAAATATTCCAGGTGTTCTCCGATGTTACCCAGCCTCATTTGCAGTTAGGTTGGGCCATGTGACTTGTTCTCACCAATGATCTATGGGCAGAAGTGGTGTGTGTCTCTTCTGGACCAAGACAATTAAGAACCAGTGTGCCTTTTCTATCGCTCCCTTCCCCTCAGTGGAGGCCAGGCATTCCAGATGGCAGAGCTACAAGCTTCAGGAGGGCCACCTGACTCACACTGGACTGCGATGGTAGTGAAAAAAAACCCCAAAAGCCAACTTTATTGTGACAAGCCATTGAAATTTTGAGATATTTTTATTAATAGTTTTTGAGGTATTTTTATTAATATTTAATTGTATACCTATACTACTTGGACCAACATTTTTGGGAATTAAAATCTAAAACTTAAAATCTCTAAACAATATTGTGTGTGTGTGTGTTGCTTAGGACATGCAGATGTGTCTTCACATTCTGCACGATTACAATTTGAAAATCTTTATATTTATTTATATGTTTTGAGGTCCCATTAATGTATAAGCAAATTTTATTAAGGTATTCTAGTCTCTTAGTACTCCTATTCTCAAAGCCATCAGGAGTATGAAATATGAAATATAAGCTTCTACTGTGTTGCCCTTTCACTTACTTATTCCTGGTTCTGTATATTCAGATACAGGTATAACTTCCTGCTGGCCTACTTTCAAATTTCTTCAGGCTTTCCCAGAAACAGTTATGCAAAATCCTGGCTTGAGCTTTGTTTTCTTAAAGTTTTTCAAGGTGAGTATTGTAATCATTCTCTGTTGCTAGGGAAGTAAAATTTGTTTGGAAGCTTTCTGCTTAATAACCTATTCAAAGGCTCCTAATGACCAGCCCAATTTTCTGTCATCCAACATGAACAAATAGCAGGCCCCACTCTGGCTCCTCCAATACCTTTTCTTCTCCTAGCAGCTTGGTTCTCTCACACAATGCTTATTTCAGTTAAAATTTCAGTACCTCCCTGGTTGTCACACTGTTGTTTTATGAGTTTTCTAGAACTGCCATAACAAAGTACCACAAACTGAATGGCTTGAGAAACAGAAATTTATTGTTTCACAGCCTGGAGGCTCACAGTCCATGATCAGGGTATTAGCAGGGCCATGGTCCCTCTGAAGGTACCAGAGAAGGATTGTTCTAGAACTCTCTCCTAGCTCCTGGCAGTCCCGTGGCTTGTGGCAGCTTAACTCATCTTTACATGACTTTCTCCCTGTGTGCATGTCTGTGTCCAGATTTTACCCTTTTAATACAGACACCAATCATATTGGAGTAGAGGCCTACCCCCCTCCAATATAACCTCATTTTAATGAATGACATTGGCAACAACACTATACCCAAATAAGGTCACGTTCCAAGGCACCGGAGCTTAAGACTTCAATATATGAGTTTTGGGGGACATAATTCAACCCATAGCAGTCATTAGCATTTGCATTGTCAAATATATAATCATAATGTTTAACAGCAAAGGCCTTAAAGTCATACTCATTTGTGTTGAAATCTCATTTTCTGCCCTTCGAACCTCAGTTTCTTTGTCTCTAAAATGGGAGCATTAGTCATTACCTTTTAGGGTTGTTGTGATAATTCAACAACAATCGGTCTCAATTTTGGCCATGAAGACCAAAATTTCATGGCTTCAAGACCAAAAACAAAGTAAACAATTACAAAGTGCCTCCGCATTCTAAAGTGAGCTGCTGGACCACCGATGTAAGACATGCTCCCAGACTATGAGACTGCTTGAGCTGGCGTATGCAATCACCCACTGACAAGGCTACAAAGAAATGTATTTTTAGAGAGTTGTTCTCCTCCTCATGTGGGAGGGGAGAGGAGTGCTTCCCTCTCACCTCAAGTCAGGTGATAGGGACCCTTCAGACCTGGACGGAAGTAGGAACTGATATTTGACTCGTGCTTTGGAAATTAAATGTGGAAGACCATGGTGTAGCTGCCTGCCTGGTGGCTGCAGAGACCCAGATGCTCCCTCACCGACAGCAGAGTGGGGAGGTGGGGAATTTTCTTGTGTGCCTAGTGGGCTGGCAGGATGGAGCTCACTGGGAGTCATTTTGGAAAGACTGCCCAAGAAGGCTTTGTGCCAAACTGGACGTCAGCAAAAGGAAGTTGGAGTATACCATCCTATACAGAAATGAGGAGGATGCCTGACTGTGCAGTCTGGAAAGATGCGGGTTGGAGGTTGGAAGGCAGCAGTGGGATTTCTTTAAGGAAGCTATGTCAGCATTCCAGCAGAGAAAGTATCAGCGCTGGAAATCTGCCATACCCAGAGGGCTCACATGCCAGGTGTATTCAGACCAGTTGAGAGACTTTTTTAGAGATTAGTTTTACCTTTTCCCAACCACATTCCAACCTCAGAAGATCCTGAAGCAGCCTAGTGGGCAGGGGACACGGGGAGGAGAAGGGAAACAAATATTTTATGGAGAAATGGAGCAGAAACCAACCGTGTTCTCGTCCTCAGAAATGCCAGACTTTCCAGCCCAAAGGAAGCTCAAGCTGAGGGCATAAATACGCTTTAAACTAGATGAGAGCTTCGGGTTATATGCTAGTGGCCCTGGACTGGACATTTTAAGGACTGAAATGAGTTGACTTGGAGGACTGCAATGAACGGGAGGATTTTTATGATCTGAGAGTGACTGAAAAAGGAAGGAGGAGTGGACAAATCTATCCACAGAGTTTGAGTAGGATGGAGAAAAGAAGAAAACTGTGCTCTGCATGGACTTTAGTGAGTTCATGTGGGAGAAAGTCAGTACTCAGAAAAAGTTGCTATTGCTCTGCTATTTTAGTTGCCATTCTGACCAACAAATCCACACCATCTTTCCTAGGAATGTCAGTGTAGAGTTCTGGGGAAACAGAAACCATTCCGGCAATTATAAGTAGAAAGAAATTTAATACAGGTAGTTAGGTGCTTGCAAAATCATTGGAGAGCTGGAGGAGCAGTTTCTAAACTGCAATGACGGAAGTAACTCCCAGGAGATAACTATTCATCTGATTTCCCAGGGGAGCTCTTGCTCCTGCCAGAGTTATAAAGATGTGAAGTCAAGCGTCTTTGGGGGAAGCTTTTGAAACTTGTAGACACTGTATAGTTGCAATCTGAGGATCATGAAAACCCTGTCACCCTTGCAGCCACTAACTTCTAATCCTCACGAAGCTAGACACTGGATGTTTGGAATGTGGTTGCCAAAAGGCTCAATGTCTGCATTATCTTACTTGCCAGTAGCAACAAATAACAGAGCAGGGAGATGGCCCTGGTCTCACTCCTTCCTTTCAAGTCTCTTGAGTGTATTTAACTCACAGTCTGAACATCAGCTGTGAAAGAGTCAGAGAAATGTGATTTCGAGCTTTTCAGCCATGGCAATACAAGAAGGAGCCATAGAAGAGTTCAGAATGGTTGCTAAGAACCAGTATTTCATATCCACCATGGTGATCCATGCATATGAAAAGACACATAATGCCAGTGGTCCAAGTTTATGTCTAGAGGGCCAAGTACTGGATTCAGTTGGATTTTTATTTTATTTTTTTTTATTTGAGACAGAGAGAGAGAGCTCACACAAGTGGGGAGGAGGATCAGAGGGAGAGGGAGAAGCAGACTCCCTGCTGAGCAGGGAGCCAGAGGTGGGGCTTGAATCCCAGGTCCCTGAGATCATGACCTGAGCTGAAGGAAGACGCTTAACCAACTGAGCCACCCAGGTGCCCCTCAGTTGCATTTAAAAAAAATCAACTTTATCAAGGTATAATTTGCATATAATAAACTGCACCTATTTTAAGAATACAGTTCAATGAGTTTGGGCAAATATGGTATAAATGTAATCAACACCATAATCAAGATATAAAATTTTTCCATCATTCAAAAAAACTTCCTTTATATTTCTTTGCAGTCAATCTCCTCATCCCCCTTGCCCCAAGCAACCACTGGTCTGCTTTCTATCTCTGTAGACTACTTTTCCCTATTCTAGAATTTCATGTAAATAAAAGCATGCAGTAGGATACAGCTGTTTTTAATATTTGCAAATAGTTTTCTTTTTCTTGCCAAGAATCCAGCATGGCATAGTAGAATACGTAGGGTCTCTGAAGTCAGACAAACTCAGGGTTGGATCCCAACTCTCCCACCTAACAGCTCTTGACCTATTACAAGTTGAACTTCCTGGGCCCAAATTTCCTAACTGTAAAATGGTAATTTAAAACAAAAATAAAAACAAAAAACATCTGCAGAGGTTAGAGCTCATAAATGAAAAGCTCATAAATGGCACTCCATGAAAAGTAACTATCATGATTCTTCTTGATGATGGCCTATTATTTTCTGCTTATGTTAATTTTCCAGTCAATTGTATCTAAGCTACAATGCTTCAGAGGATAGTTTTATTGCTGACTTTCACACATGACTGCCGTAATAGCAATTAGAGCTATTCTCTAGAGTGTCAGATTGCTTCATATCTGGGTTCTACCACTTGCTATGTGACCTTGTGAAAATTCTGAATCTTTCTGTGCCTCAGTTTTCTCTTCTGTAAAACAGGAATAATAACAATACCTAGGATAGTTACGGAAATTAAATAAGATGATATATAATACCTTACTAAATACCCAACAATGGTTGGCTATTATTATCATTGTTATGTATATTGAAAATTTTCTATCTGTATACCTTTAACCAAGTTCCTTCCTCTGAGAGGAGTGCCCCTCTCTTTCTTTTCTGGCCAGTTAAGTTTTCTTATTCTAATCTCCAGGAACCTCTCCCTTCCACAAAATAAACTTGCACTCTCTTATTTGGCACTTACCTTCCCACACTTCATATTATCATTGAGTCATAGAATGTTTGAGATTGAAAAAATTGTTCATGTGAATGCTCTCATTTTACAGCTGATGTGATAGAGATCCAGTAAGGATAAATTATTTATCAAGGTCATGTTTTTAGAACATAGATTGGGTTAGGACTTGGTCTCCTAAGTCTCAGTCCTGGGTCTACAGTATGATTTTATTTTATTTTATTTATTTATTTATTAAAGATTTTATTTATTTATTTGAGAGAGAGAATGAGATAGAGAGCATGAGAGGGGGGAGGGTCAGAGGGAGAAGCAGACTCCCTGCTGAACAGGGAGCCCGATGCGGGACTCGATCCCGGGACTCCAGGATCATGACCTGAGCTGAAGGCAGTCGCTTAACCAGCTGAGCCACCCAGGCGCCCTACAGTATGATTTTAAGTGCTTAGCACATAATATTCAGTTTGTTCGCTTATTGTGTGAATTCTTAAAATATACTGTGCTCAGTGGATT